GGGTCACACAGCTAGTAAGTGTCTGAGGCCAAATTTAAACTCGGGAAGATGAATCGTCTTGACTCCAGTTCTGGTACTCTATCCACTCTAGCACCTAACTACCCTAATTTTCATTACACTGCCCTAATATTCGCTAGAACAGAAATAATTTTTAAATTTTTGGTATCTTCTAATCTGTGTCCAGAGGCTGTAGATTTGGGAGAGAGAAGGTTTACTGGGAGTCCAAGTCACTGACAAAGGCAGCTACTGACAGATTTCTTCACAGCCCCTCCCTATCCCTCCTCCTGCTGGCCATTGGTATTAACATGGAAGCCAACGTGGAGATCAACCAGATAAAGTTTTATCAACACAATCTACAGTTGGCCACCTTTTGTTTGTTTTGGATTTGTGGGGCTTTTTACAACAAGCATCACAACGAGCATCAATAGGAGTTTGGTTGTATGACTATCCCCCACTCCCCATCCCCCAGGGAATAACAGTGGAGCTAGGAAATCATTTGGGACTGTATATTCAAAGGCTTCATGGAGCCAAAACCTTTTCATGAATAGCTAGAAATGTGCCCTGCTGTGTATATCTATCTACAAAGACAGACAGCTATGCTAGACGCTGCAGATGGATAATAAGCTGGGCCCAGAATTGAACAAGAGAAAGAGAGTGGGCCACATTGCATTTGGGAAATTGTGCAATACTTTCAAATCACTCCCATCCCTGACACAAAAATATACATATATATACATATACACATACATACATATATATACACATATATATATACATATATATATTTTAGCAACAATATCTTCCCAACTGTGGAGAATCACAGTTTCCAAAGAATCAAAATTGCATGTGACCCAAAGGTCAATGGCAAGACACATGGCAGGTATAAGTGAGCTATAGCACATAACCAAGGCAGACTTGAGTGAAAGAAGTGGTATAAAGATATACATCACTGAGGAAAAGTAGGATCAGAAAAGATATGACAGATAGAACAGAATATTGTGTACGCTGTCAGACTCAGATTCCATAGCAGATGTTCTTACTTGTTTTCCTTTGTTGTAAGACAGGGTTCAACCTACAGCAAGGTAGGAAATGAGCGATATAGAGACAAAAAGCATCAATAAAAGTGTTTGGAGTTTTTTTTTCTTTAAGAAAAGTAAAGCGGGTAGTCTTTGCAGGTCATGTAGCAGTAACAAAGGATAATAGTTGGATGGCTTAGTTTCATCACTGAAACTCCTGAAATCCTAAGACCTGTAAGACCTGTGAGATTGTCTATAGAAAATACATGAGGAAAAATATGTGGGAATATGTGGACAAGAATCCCATGGGGTAAAAAGTCATAGGAGGATTGTGAATTGTATATCCACATACATGATATCACAGTTTCGCTGAAATACCTAAATTTATATCTGAATGCTTGTCAGATGAGGCATTCCTGGGGATCATTGAGAATGGTCTGTAACAGGGATCCTTAACATTTTGAAGTCATGGAATCTTTGGCAGTCTAAGACTATGAAGCAATGTTCTTACATGCATAAAATAAAATACATAGGATTTCAAAGGAAACTAATTATAGTGAATAAAGATATAATATTTATCCATATACACATATATTTATATATATAAAATACAAATATATAATACAATTATATAAATACTATATATGGCTATTTCTCTAGCCACTAGGACACACTATGCATAGATTTGTATGTGCATACATGCCTATGTGTTATGTGTTATATAACATATGCACACCTTACATAGGTCCATGTATACTGTTTTATGTATATTCCTGTTGTACTTATATGTCCATGTGTAGTGTGTGTATTGCATAACATATAAACACATATATAATCATATATATACCTATAGGATGTTATATGGAGATTTGGAGATATGGAAGGAAAGAGACAAAACACATGTTAAAGTGCTTTCATGTGCACTAGGGGTACATTTCTGCTTGCTTCTCCCCTCTTGATATGATCCCTCTTCCCTCCCACCTCTCCTTCCCACACAAAGAATGCAAGATGTGAACAGGAAAGTCCCTTTTCCATGGGCATATAGGCCACCCAGCCCTAGTACTTATAGAGCATGTGTGTTTTTCGCTCCAGTAAATACACTGCAGAAATATGTCAGATCTTTTAAAAGTCTATACTTTGAAGGGAGGCCCTAGAGTTGGTGAGCAAAAAGAGACCAGAAAAAAAAAACTGCTGCCATCTAAGACTAAGAGATCACTTTCTCTTTCCTTCCCTTGGCCTCTTTACCCTCCAAACCATCTTTTTCCTCCCTAACAACAAAAAAAATTCATCTGAGTCAGAATTCAAGCAAATTTTTTAGAAGATGGGAAAATTTCAAATTGGAGGGCCTGTAAGCAGCCCTTTTCTTCTTTCTCCTCTTCTTCATCTCTGTCTTCTGTCTCTTTTTTCTCTCTCCCACGAGTCATTGCTAATTTTAGCCCTTAGCTCATAGGCAAGCCCTTATATGTGAGGGCTCCTTTCAACTGCAGATAAAATGAGCAATATTACTAAGATGGCACAATACGCCCTCAGAAGAGGGCACTAAATGGCACCATGACAAATATCCACCCTCTGAGAAAACACTCCCTAATTTCCAGAAACAATGAAGAGCTTGCTATAATATTGCCTGACTTTCTTCACCCTTGGCTGCTTATACTCAGAGCCTATCCCTGATCAAGTCACCCCGCCCTCTTACTCAATAAACTCCTTTGACTCCCTATTTCCTCCAGAATCAAATTAAAAAATCCTTTGGAATTTGAAACCCCTCATATGCTAGCTCTTCCAGTCTTCTCGTGCTTCTTCCACTCCACATTCGATGATGTAGCTATGCATACCTATGTGCTCTTCCTCACACACAACCCTCCATCTCCTGACTCTGTGTACAGTATCTGCCCTTGCTGTTCCCCTGGAATGGTTTCCCTCCTCTGCTCTGACACCTATGTCCCCCAGCCTCCTTCAAGACTCAGATCAAATCCCACCTTCCTACGGGGACCCTTCCCAGTTCCCTCCATTTACATTGTGTATATCTTCTATAGGCATTGTTATTTTCATGTTATCTCCCTCATTAGAACGTGAGCCCCCTCAGATACTTTTTTTTTCTCCCCTTTCTTTTTTATCCCCAGCAGTTAGCACAGTCTCTGGCATTGCTCAATCACATCCAACTCTTTGTGACTCCTTTTGAAGTTTTCTCGGCAAAGATATTGGAGTGGTTTGCCATTTCCTGCACCAGCTCATTTTGCAGACGAGGAGTTGAGGTAAATAGGCTTAAGTGACTTGCCCAAGGTCATACAGATAAACGTTCCAGGCCAGATTTGAACTCAAGAAGATGAGTCTTCCTGACTCCAGGCCCAGCACTCTATCCACTGAGCTACCTAGCTGCCCATTCCTGGCATACAGTAAGTGCTTAATAAATACTTGTTGATTGATCCTCTATATACTCCTAGAAAAGGGACATTTTATATACATTTATAGGATCATAAGATCATAGATTCGTGGGGAGGTGGCAGCAGGGGATGGGGAGCAGGGAAAGTCGGAAAGACTCATCTTTCTTAATTCAAGTCTTGCCTCAGACACTTACAAGTGAGCTGGAGAAGGAAATGGTAAACCACTCCAATATCTTTGCCAAGAAAACCCCAAATGGGGTCACAAAGAATCAGATATGACTGAAAATGACTGAACAAGATTATAGATTTAGAACTAGAAGGAGCCTCAGAGGCAATCCAGTTCAATCTGTGAGTTAGGCAGTGCAATACTATTATCCCCATTTTACAGGTGAGAAAACTGATATTCAGAGAAGTTAAGTCATTAGCCCAAAGTTATACAGCCATAGTAAGGACTCAAACTTTGATCTTCTTACTCTAAGCCCAGTGCTCAGCAGATTATTTAAAAAACAATGCCAACATGCTCAACAACTATAATTAAAACCTGACATTTAAAAAAAAATTTTTTTTGCTGTAGAAACACAAGGTCTTTAATTATATTTTATTTTCCCTCAGTTTCATGTAAAGACAATTTTTAACATTCATTTTTAAAAAATTTTGAGTTCCAAATTTTCTCTCAACCTGACATTTTCCAAACATAAATCCAGACCATAGGAGAGAGATTTTCCATTAAAAAAAAAAAAGAATGAATCCTTCACTATTGCTTAGATGTCATATACAAAGAGGCAAAGGAATAACATGTTGTAATAAGAAGAATCCTGGGGATTGGGCAGAGCCATCTAGGTTTTAGTCCCATCTCTTCCATTAAATAGCTGTGTGATCTTGAGCAAGTCACAAGCTCCCTGTGCCCCAGTTTCTTCATCAGTAAAATGAAGGGGTTGCACTGATGATGGGTTTTTCACTTGGGGTCCATGAATTTTTTTTTAAAAGTTGACAACTCTTTTTCAATGTAATTGGTTTCCTTTGTACATCTTATTGTCACGCATCTTCATTTGTAATATATTTTATGCATTAAATATATTATTCTGAGAACGAATCCCCAGGTTCCATCCGACTGCCCAAGGGGTCCATGACACACACAAAAGAAGTTAAGGACTCTTGCACTAGATAATCTAGTCCTGGCCCCTTCCAGCTCTAATACTCTATGATATCATTCTGTGAGTTCATTGGCAGAGGGAATTTCCAGGTGAGGGAACTCCTACCAGTGCAGGTCAATACCTTCCTTCATAACTTATGTTCTACAAGAGTTGCCTTGAGAAGTGAGAGGTTAAGTGACTTGCCCAGGGTCACACAGCCAGTAGGTGTCAGAGGTAGGATTTAAATGCAGGTCACTGGCTCCAAAGCCAGCTTTCTATTGACTACATCAACCTCCAGTGCCTGTCTTATCCTATATCATTCCACGATGTCCAGGAAGCAGGAGACAGTCAACCCTACAAAGACTTCAATTTTTTGCAACTTCTTAAGACCTTATTCAGGTACCAGTTTTATATCCCTACAGAGCATCAGATCAGTGCCATGAACCATGAACCGACCCAAAACACCCATACCAGATGTAAAAAGTGATGATTTTATTCTTGATTCTGGAGTTATTGCCTCTAGTCTTGCAAGTGTGAGTAAATGGAACCAATGATTGCTCCTCCAAAATACTTAGCTAAAAAGTTGCTGGTTGTTACAAGTGCTTCCCGTTTTCCCTAGAGAAAATGCTTTGAGAATTGCCCTAAACTTAGGCTTTAACATTTCAATAACAGCAGGGCTATTTGATCATCCTACTTATATGCCAACTCACATTCTCACTGAGCAGCGAGAGGCCACAGGCAGCTATAAATAGCCTCCAAACAGATTATGTCCTTCCACAGGACAGACACAGGGGCAGCTGAGGCATCGCCACCCCCACATCCCATCCCTACCAAGGCCTGGAACACTCAACTACCATATGGAATGCCCAGGGAAGGGGAGCTGAGCTGAGCTCACAAATTATAACGATGCATCCAAAGCGTCAATAGGTCTGGAGGGATCTACTCATTGTCCCCTGAATGTCCTTGGTGGTAAAGCCAGTAGTTGAGAAATAAACATTCCCTGTGGTATAGATCCCACACTCCTTGGGCATAACACGGTACAGCAAAGACTAGTAGAACAAAAGCCTTTCTCCTACATCAGCCTTAAACAACAAAATAGCATACATAGAGACACATGCCGCATGATGAGACAGGGCTTTCCAGTCATGATTTTCTTTCCCAGCTCATTGACTTCTCAAAGGAGCTCTGACCACAAGGGACCCACAAGGGCTAGCTCAGAGCACAGTTTCTCTTACAACTCCAATAAGGCTATGTGGCCTCTCTGGGTCCGTTCTTGGGACCCTTCTCTCCACTCTCTGTTTTTCTGCTGACACGAAAGTGCTCAAATCTCCACAACTCTCCAGATGAAGGAGTCCAGGGTGTCTTCTATAGGGCAACATCTGTGTCCTGGATGTACTTGGCTGAGCAGGAGTCATTATCTTTGGGGGAAGAAAAGGAGAAAAAAGACAAAATGAATTCGAGAAAGAGTTCTTATCTATTTAAAAGAGGAGCAGGACTTGAAGTCCATGGACTTGGGTTCAAAATCTGGCTCTGCTACTACCTCCTACCTGTGTGATCTTGAGCAGGTGATCTCTAGCCCTCAGTTCCCTCATCTGTAAAATGAGGGAGTTAAACTAGATGGCTTCTGAGGGCCCCCCCAGTCCTACTACTGTGATCCTATGACTCCCACTGGTCCTCAGTTTCCTCATTTATAAAACAAGGGAGTTGGATTAGATGGACTTCTGGCTGTAGAGCTATGATCCTATGACTAGATTTTTAAAAATCTTATTATTTTGGGGTTTTTTTTTATTTCTTTCAGTTTTTATAAGGTAGTGGAGAGAACATCTCTCCCACCCCAGGAACACTCTTCATAGGTAAGAAGGGAAGAGGGAAAGAAAGGCATGGCAGTGGAGGGCTTGGGACAGGTAGAGAGAGGGCAGCATTAGGCATCAGGTGGGGAAGGAAAAGGAAGGACATATGAAAGAAAGACACTATCTGCATCCAGAGAAAGAACTGATAAATAGATGTATGGAATAATGTTACATATGTATGTGTATGTGTGTATATATATACATATAGAGAGAGAGAGAGAAAGAGAGATATATAGATATATATACGCACATATACTTATTTGTGTCTCATGGTAGCCCATCTCTAGGGTGGGGAGGAGGAAAAAGAAAAAAGAAAAAAAAAGAAATTTACATAATAACTTTGTTGTATATTTGGAGGGAATAGCAAGTTGTACATGGTAGATTTGCAGTTTCATGTTCAATCATCTTTTTATTGTACTGTGTTATGGAAATGCTTGTTCTGTGAACTGAAAATAAAATAAATTTGCAAGAAAGAAAGAGAGAGAGAGAGAGAGAGAGAGAGAGAGAGAGAGAAAGAGAGAGAGAGAGAGAAAGAAAGAAAGAAAGAAAGAAAGAAAGAAAGAAAGAAAGAAAGAAAGAAAGAAAGAAAGAAAGAGAAAGAAAAGGGAAGTGGGAGGACAAAACTATATACCATGCAATAAGGCCTAGGACCTTGGTGGTGGTGATAACAACTATGTCCCATTAAAGTCATATTTTTGGGCCAAGTATGTAGGCTTCTTGTGTCTACTTTATACCCAACTAGATTTAAGGCAGCTATGGCTGGTCCATCCCAAGCGTCCAACCTTGATGTAAAATGCAGTGAGTCATAAAAAAAACTTAGTATAGCAAAAACTTTACAAGTCCTCTGTGTCTTATTCCCAGTAGGAGAATATCTTTCTTGGTTGAATGGGCCCAGTTTGGGGAGGCTGCCTTGAACTTTCAAATATTTTCTATGACTTTGAATAATCCATTGAAAAAGCCTGCTACCAGTCAGTCAGTAAAAGTTTAAGTGCCTACTGTGTTCCAATGCTGGGGATACAAAGAAAGGTAGAAAGATGGTCCCTGTTCACAATATAAAGGGTGAGATAACCTACAAATAACTACACACAAACAAGCTATAGACAGGATAAATTAGAAGTCATTAACAGAGGGATTAGAATTAAAGTGATCAGGAAACTCTTCCTGTAGAAGGTGGAACTTGAAGGAAGTCAGTACATTTTATCTCTGGTGCACTAGAATACATTCATTTCCCCTTTAGAAAAATAAAAAAAAAAACTCTTCATTAATACAAATTCCACCTATTTACCTTGCAGACAATTTCAGGGAAGATGAACAGCTTCCCAGACTTCTGTCAATTCAAATAAAGTCCAGTTGCATCACTTTCAAGGGACTAAGAAAATATGCCATTCAAGGGAAGCATTAAATTCAGGAATCAAAAAGGTACGCTTTTATTGTCTATGCTCCCATATTGTGCACTGAACTTTACTATCTGCCTTATCAATCTGTCCTTAAGATTCTCAGGCATTGCTATCTGACTTGCAGGTCAGACCCTTAAAGACCCCGGGGCCTTCCCAGTTGCTCTGCAGTAGAATCCTTAAGGATTATTGGGTCTTTTCATCCACTTCCCTTGCAATTGAAGCCTCTTACATGTGTTATCTCCCTTAACACAATCTGTCACGCTATGCTATTTGTATCTCCCGTTCTGGGCACAAAGTAATCACTTAATAAATGTTTTTTTCATTCATTCATCTTCCTTTACTTTCATTCCAAACATCTTGTCCCCTTTGTATTTAATAGATTTGCTTTCCACCATAAGTGCTTGGTTATAATATCTTTAAACCAGTAACAGTGTATCCAGGGCAGTCTTCCTGGAAGACTTCATCTTCATCTTCCTTCATCTTCCCCTTTGCTCCCTTGAGAGAATGGTTCTGAAATGAGCTTCTTTTAAACAATCAAGTTAACCCACTAAAGACACGATGAGATCTCTGATTATTCACCCTGAATGCACACAATAAAACTACCTATTGGGGAAGCTAGGTGGCGCAGTGGATAGAGCACCTTCCTTGGATTCAAGAGGACCTGAGTTCAAATCTACTGTGTGACCCTGGGCAAATCACTTAATCCCATTGCCTAGCCAAAAACCAACCAACCAAACAAACAAACAAAAAAACCTAAGAAAAAAAAACCCAGACTACCTGTTCAAGGAAACTGGCACTTGTGATGGCTTCCTCCATGTGCTCTTCATCAGACTTGAGGACAGACTTGATGTTCTCCACTAGTTCGTGTATGTCTGGGGTCATACTACAGGATGACTGCTCCAGGAACTTTGCCACCAGCAGCTTCGTGTCTATGTAAGATTTGTAGTCTACCAAAGAGCGAGGTCTGGCTCGAACAGCTCTGGCTTGAAGGCCCTTTCTCAAGGTCACTGGAGCCAGCTGGGGTCTCACTTCAGTCTGAGTGGCAGCTTCACAGCTAAGCACAGGTCCTACAGGTAAAGAGAAAAACTCCTTAGCACACTTCTGCCAATGCCACTTGAACATACGACTGTCTGAAACCCCAGCCCAGGCCTCTAACTCAGCACGGAAAATCACCTGGCAAAATACTGACATCCATGCAAATCTTGTCTTTCATTTCACAGAAGGAGGAAAAGAAATCTACAACACAAGGTTTGTTTCAGGGATGTCTTTCAATCCAAGGATGGCCCCAAAGGTTTTGGCGTGTTACAGAAGACAATTTCTGAGTTATGCCAAATGACAAAGAGCAACCAGGAGACAAAAGACAACATGTGGTCATAGGTAATATTTTCAAGTGATACTTGCAAATGGATGGCAAATTGATGAGTCACAGAGAGAAAGCATTTCTGTTCTGGTGGAAGGAGAAGACACAACGGGGAAGGGATGAAAATGTTGTTTGAACAAGTGTGGAGAAAGCTAGAGAAGCAAGGTCTGTGAGAAGATGTTACTATTACTCTTTGGCTATAAAACTTTATCCTAAAATTCTCAGGTTTTTCTTTTCCTGTTTCATTTCACCTGTGCTCACATCATGTCTATGAGGCAAGCAGAAGGCAAATCACCACTTCCATTTTGCAGACAGAGAAATTAAATCCAAAGAAAGTAAGTAACTCATTGACCGTCACCCAGTCAACAGGGACACTTAATGAGAATATCCAAATTTCCCAACTTCCCAGGCTGGGTTTCCTACATCACCAAGTTTGTGAAGTTATTTTAAAGATATATAGAGTAAATCCATGAACTAGACCCTAATGGGGCCAATATGCCAGGAAGTATGTTGGGAAGAGGAGGGAGATACAATCACGGTTCCCTAACTGGGCAAGAGTAACCAGCAGCCTTCAGCCTGCCCTGGATGGAGGAAGCCAGAAAGGCAGGAATGAAAACATGACAGGAAGCAGGAGGGGCAATGAGATCGTGGCAAAGGATGCAGAGACTTCCTGGACCCTTTTTCAGGCACATGGAGCTCTAAACAGAGGAAAAGAAACTGTTCCCCTCCCCACACCACCCCCTCCCAGTTGATATTCTTTCAGTCTCCCAGCCAGAGTCACCGTCTTGATTCAACACTGCTAGAAAGGCTTTGCTAGTTACATTTTAATGCGAGGGCCAGGGGGGCAGGTTCTATGCTCATTTACTTGAATATGCCCTGGCCACCTTCTGCATTAAAAGATCCAAACAAATAAACATGTCCACCCTCCTGCCTGCTGACTTTCAGCACTGCAGGAATTGAGTAGGGGTCCATCTTCTAAGACTATGCTGTGGAGAGAACTAAGTTCCAGCTGAAACCGGCAGGCGGCCAGCCCGAGTCCTCAACTTGCTAGAGTAAAGGTGGAGGAGACCCACGGTGAAGACAGGTCTTGGGATTCTTAGAGCCCAGGCTGCTGAGGCCTGTTGGGGTTGCAGAGGTGATACAGTCAGTCACGGGGAGGTGGGAGAACCCCACTCTGTGGCAGCTGTAGAAACAAGAGGAGTTTTTTCTTAGGTACATGGTCAATCTATGACTGTGGCAAACAACAGATGATGTTAGAGGAGATGGAGCAGAACTTACAAGAGGCTGAAAAGATAATTTGGCCATCAGAAAAGTTGGGAAGTTTGTGAAGTGTTAGGAAGTTTTCTTGGAGAAGAGTTTTATATGAGTACATTATATATGTCACTTTCTGAAATCATGCTCAATGATAAACCTATATTCATTCAAATAATACCTACAGACAGGCAAACACAAGCATGGTTGTTTATCCATTTAAAGTAAATCCCATTTGATGGTGTTTATTTTCAATGGGCCAATCTGTTTATAGTTTTTTAAGTTCAACACAATAAAAATGAATATACTAGAAGAAAAATAACCAACTTGAGTAGACACACTCCTTTAGCTGCTTCTTCCAAAGAAAACACTCCTCCCAGCAGGATTAATAATATCCAGAAATCAGATGCCAGGTCTACCTACTTCTCTTGTATATCACCTATTAGGATATCATGTATAACAGAGGGCTTACTCAGCATTTCTGATCATGAAGGAAAAAAAAATGAACCTCAAAAGAATTTGAGCATCTAAGTAGAAGCTGATGCATTTCCCTAACATGCTGGCTCACCATTTTTTTTCCCTCCAGGACATAACGCAACTTCCATGAGGATACCACCTAAAATTAGGGACCACAGTCTGACCTACATCACTAGTATTCAGTTAGAATCTTTAAGAAAATGGTGAAAAATGTTCTAGTTAGAAGTCAGAAAAATGACATCACCTCTGGCTGTTGAGTGATGGAGGACAGGGTCACTTTTTGATCTTGCTCTCAAGGGCTGCAAGGCTCTTCTGCTCAATGGAAGATGCGCTAGGTTTGAATCAGGAGTTGACAGGGATGGGCTGTCTTCCTCCGATGTGTTAGGAATGTCTCCACCTGATTTATTGAAAAAGAAACATAAGTTAATTTTCATCAATCATATCACTTCACAATTCAGGCCAGCAGTATCTGCAAAACTAAATCTACTTGCCAGCCAGGGAGTACTAGCAAGCAAGCATTTATTAAAGGCCTACATACTGGGGACTTTTCTAAGCCAGTAATTTTCAGAAGGAAATAACATATACACATATAAGTATAAATAAACAAACAAAAGCAATGGGGGAAGGAAGGTGGATAGGGAAGCCCTCATGTAAGAGGTGATGTTGTAGCTGAGACATGAGATGCAAAGGTGAGACAGAAATACATTCCAGGCATGAGGGGACAGCATGGAGAAGGCATGGAGAAGAGAGATGAAATATCAGGTGTGAAGAACATTGAGATTTGGCTAGACTGTTGAGTACATGAAAAGTAGTAATATATAATTAGCTTTGGAAAGTTTGGCTACAGCCAAAGGGCTTTAAGTGTCAAAAAGAAGCATCATGGAGGTAATAGGAACCACTGGGGTTTATTGAACAGGGAGGGACATAGATAGACCCACGCTTTAGAAATATCACTTTGTCATAACTTAGCAAGCTTTCTTTAAGGGACAACTCTAAAAGCAATTCATGATTTTAAAACAAAAACAAATCAGCCCACTTGAGAGCTATTAAAAAAAAAACCAGTGCTTGAAATCTCCCCAAGTTCACAACTGCCAGACAATTCTTGGTATTTCATCAGGAAAGACACAACGAAATAACACCTGAAATAGCCTTCCTCTCCGTAGGCTAGAAGCCAAAATGCACACCAAGGGGGAAGTCTTTATATCTGTATAACCCAGAGGGTTAATTACAAGCTGTGAAAAAATCCCAACCAGCCTAGTTGAAAAACAAGTGGCAGCTAAATGACCCATTAAAATTGTCCTGGGTTAATCTGACTTTTGTTGAAGAAAATAAAATTGAAGAAGTTGTAGTTCTTCACTGGGGTTTGAAGAAGAGAAACAGCAGCAACATTGTGGAATGCAAACCCACTGATGAAACCTGACCGTCCTCCATATTTCTACTCAAGATGGAAAATGAGCAAAAGAAAAGAAACTAGTTCCAAATGTTCCAAATGGCATTACTGAAAAATTACCATCATCTGAAATAGCTGTAGCCTGATCCATTATTCATTACCATTTGCAATTTAGTCCTGGTGGACATTTTTCTGGGCCATTTAAAACCTCCCCAAAGAGGGCAAGCTGTAATAATGCACCTTTAACTTACAAGGATAAATGTAAACCAAGCCCTGTATTCTCTGTACTACTGAAAAACCGAATTCACTTTATATTAAGGCAACATGACCCTGGCCCCAGTTTATAAATTATACAGGGTGACCTCACAGCTATCCACTCTGCAGTAATGGAGAGGCTTCCAGAAAGATCCATCTTACCTTTAGGGGGAGGAAAAAGTACTACAGCATAGGCGGGGGAGGCTGAGGAATGCCAAACTAAACTCTTGGTTTTGGAGAAGAGTTAGTGTATTCTTAAAAGATACCGAGTACAACTGTATAATCCAATGTGATTTCATATTTTTATCAGTACAGATGTTAGTGGATACAGCAACGACTACGGTTTGAATAATGTGCTTCAAGAATAAAGACTAGCATATTGATAAAACAATAAAAGAAATTCATGCTGCCGATCTATACTGATGGCTGCAATGAGATATTTCAATCATCTGAAATGATCAGCAATTTTCACCGGTTTGGCAAACAATCAGGACAGAAATTATTTCTGATTAAAGTAATGTCTTTATTACCTTGAGACACCTGTGCACTGCCTGGGTCCACTGGGCCGGCCACAGCTTCGGATGCCTCTGGAATGTGGAATGAAGTCCCCTATCACACAAAATAACATCGTTTGCTTTTGTTCAAAACCTAGTCTCTGTTTCAGCCTCTCTTTTTAAGAAGATAATGATACAGAATGGCCTTGTTCTGCAAAGTATATTACACACAATTGTTCTGTATAAAGGTTATTTTTTTTTTTGCTACTAGAAATCAAATTTTTATTCATCTGTACAAAAACATATGCATAGAGATTTTATCCTTAATAGTGAAATCTAGAAACATCCTACATGGCCAATGATTGGGGAATGCCTGAGCTACTTGTCATACCAAGGGAATGAGATATTATTATATTATAAAAGTGACAAGTATGAAAACAAAGAAATAAGTGAGGACACGTAAAGTGCAGGGTGAAGAAAGCAGAGTCAAAGGACATATGCACGCTAGGGTTATATAGGGAAAAAAAAAAGAATAGCAACAAAATCTTACACAAAGAAATAATTGGGAAAAAAAGATTGGAAGAAGAGATGATCAAATGCATTTCTCTCCTTTGGAGAGAAGTAGGGGCCTGTAGGTATGGGACATTTCAGATACTTTCAGAGCTCGTTGATGTGTTATTTGATTTTGCTGAACTGCTTTTTTTTCCTATTTCTTCATGGTTACAAGGACGGATGGCTCAAGAAGGGGTGGAGAGAAAGAAGGATATAATCAAGAATGAAGGAGATATAAAAATAAAAGATATCAATAGTGTTTTTAAAAGACCTATTAACTTGGGCCTAAGTGCCTTCTGACACTGTGGAGTGAATAAGGGGATAACATCCTTGGGAATATTTTTTTTAATTAGAAGAAAATACTGAGCAAATTGTTACTACTATGATTTATATTTTCTACATTTTATAAAAAAATATATTTTGTAGTTTAAATTTTTCTATAAAATCTAAGTCTCATTTTGTTTGCTTTGAGTGAGACTATAACACAAATTATTCTTAATAGAATCTCAAACATCCTTGATAAGAAAAATTATGATCACATTACCTGTTCCTGATTGATTTGGCTCACTACAGATTCATAAGGAGGGGGTGGATCCAGAGGACAGAAAACTTCCACGCCTTTAATCCGAGCTCCATAGATGTGTGGAAGTGGAATAACATCAGAGCCTACCATCCTAGGAAAAACACTGTGGCATCAGTCAACATGTTCTAGTCAGTTCACAAGCATTTGATTGTTTGGTCAATCCTTGATTAATTGATTGGTTGAGAGGCAGAATAACATAGGGGTACTTCCCAGGACCTTCTGTTATATAATAGATTCATGATCTTGGGCACCACACCCCTATGCATCTGTTTCCTCTGCTTTAAAATGGGGATCAGACCACTTGGCACTCTATCCAGCTTGCACGGTTGTAGCGAAGAAAGGAAATTGTAAAGTATGACAAAGGTGAATTATGGAGGAATGGTCTGGATCTGTGATTTAATCTGTATGGAAACTCCCACTACCAATGCAGACGACCAACTTGTCTGAAATTTATAGTCTTAGAGGGTAGTCAGTCTGGGGACTATTTGCTTGAGGTTACAGAGGTGGTATGAGTCAGAAGGAAGGCTTGAATCCAAGCCTTCCTAAGTCCAAGGTCAGCTGCCCAGAGAAGGTGACCATCACATCACCCTGCCTCTCAAGTTGTTACTATTACTGTTTAGCAAATTGAATAATGGACAAAAATATGGGATAGATCATTTAACTCCTCCAGCACCACACTTTCCCTATGTAGAAAATTTGGGTTATACAAGTAATTGGTCAAAGGATATATAAATAAATAGTTCTCAAAAGAAGAATTGTGAACTATTAACAACCATATGAAAGGCCGTTCCAAATAATTAATAGTAAGATAGCTATAAATCAAAACATTCATGCCTGGTATTAGAAAAGAAAACAAAAGATAGGACACAGAAAGGCAAGCCCATTAGTACATTATTGGTGCAGATGTGGATTGGTCCAACCATTTGGGAACTCATTTTGGAATTATGCCAACAAAGTGACTAGAATTTCTATTGCCCATTGACCCAGATATTTCACTGTTAGGAGGTCAAAGAAAGTTTCCATGGATAGTAAAATATTTTCAAAACAACCTTTTTGTGATAGCAAAGAACTAGAAATAAATACATGCCTGCCATTTTGGGAATGGCTAAACAAACTGTAGAACATGATATAATAGAATATAATAGAACAATAAGAAATGATTAATATGAAAAATTAAGAGGAACAAGGGAAGACTTATTTGAACAGAGGCAGAGTGAAATAAGTAGAAACAGGAAAACAATATATGCAATGACCTATGACATTATGTTCATGTAATTGAACAGAACAGTAAAATAAAATTGAATGATGTGTAACAACCAAGTTTTGACCCAGAGAAGAGTTGAGCAGATATACCTCTCTCCCTTTTTTTTTCAAAGGTTAGGAGGGGACCATGGGTAGAATATTGCATATATTATTGTTGGTTAGTTTTGCTCCATTATTTTTTATTTTTCAAAAAATCTTTATCACCAGGGGCAGAGCCAAGATGGCAGAGTAAGAGCAGGGACTTGCTTGAGCTCTCCCCCAAACCCCTCCAAATGCTCATAAAAAAATGGCTCTGCACAAATTCTAGAGCAGCAGAACCCACAAAATGACAGAGTGAAACAGATTTCCAGCCCGAGGCAATCTGGATAGTCAATGGAAAAGGTCTGTTGTGCTGGGCTGGGAGAGGAGCGCAGTTCAGCGTGGGCCACGCAGGCAAAGACCAGGCCTGAGGGAACCCGGAGCAGGCCTCAAGGGACTGAATCAAAGGGAGCTGTGGTGGTTTCCAGACTGCACAACCCACAAACGCCAAGGACAACTTACAAGGTCAGTAGGAAAGGTCTGTTGGACCTGGGTGAGAGAGGACTGCGGTCCAGCCCTGGCCCCAGCGCAGCCCCGGGGCAGTGGCCAAAGCTGCAGTTGCTTCTAGAGCTTTTGGCCCACAGATGGTGGGGGGATCAAGCGGCTGCTCAGAGAGGGATGGCAGGGATCTCTTTGCTGGCTCTGCAGCAGGATTCTCTTGCTTTGCCTGTGCTTGGATCTGGGTCCAGTCCTGTGGCAGTCCTGGGGCGAGGAGGAGTGCTGGTGTGGCACAGCTTGTGGCAGCAGTGAAGAGGAAACCCTCCTCTCATTTTCGGGGCAGAAAAGAGTGCTTGTGGTCACTCTCAGACCACAGCATAGGCCAGGAGGGGAGTAAACACCTCTCCTTACCACCCTGGAAGAACTGAAAACCTACAAAGAAGTGACTCTGAAAATAGCTGCACAAAACCTCTGAAGCTTAGGACAGTACACCCTCCATGCTGGAAGCAGAGCCCTACCTTAACAAAGAGTTAAAAAGTCAAGTAACTGGCTGGGAAGATGAGCAAACAGAGGAAAAAAATTTTGACTACAGAATCTTACTTTGGTGATAAGGAAGATCAAAACACACAACCAGAAGAAGACAACAATGTCAAAGCTCCAGAGCCCCCAAGAACAACACGAATTAGCTTCAGGCCATAGAAGAGCTCAAAAAGGATTTTGAAAATCAAGTAAGAGAAATAAAGGAAAAACCGGGAAGAGAAATGAGAGTGATGTAAGAAAATCATGAAGAAATGAGTCAACGGCTTGCTAAAGGAGACCCAAAAAAATGCTGAAGAAAATACCTTAAAAAATAGAGTAGGGGCAGCTAGGTGGCACAGTGGATAGAGCACCGGCACTGAAGTCAGGAGGACTGAGATCAAATCTGGCCTCAGACCAAACACTTCACACTAGCTGTGTAACCCCAATTGCCTACAAAAAAAAAAGACTAGACCAAATGGCAAAAGAGGTCCAAAAAGCCAATGAGGAGAAGAATACCTTAAAAAGCAGAATTGGCCAAATGGAAAAGGAGGTCCAAAAGCTCACTGAGGAAGTGAATGTTGAAAACCATAAATAAAATTGGGGTAAAAATAAAAAAAATTTAAATCTTTGTTACCATAACTAATATGGAAATAGGTTTTACATGATTGCACATATATAGCCTATATTAAATTGCTTACCATCTTAGGGAGGAGGGAGGTAAGGGAAGGAGGGAGAAAATTTGAAACGCAAAATTTTACAAAAAAGTGAATGTTAAAAATTGTCTTTATATGTAACTGAAAAAAACAAAAATACTATGAAAAATCTTTGTCACAAAAGAATGGCTTGCTGGATAGGGGACAGCAAGGTCTATACGTGGAAATGAAGTGTGATATGAAAACAAAAGGTGTTAATAAATTTTTAAAAAGAAAATCAAAGGTACCCTAAATTTTCACACCCTCTACATTATGGATCATGAAACAAAAGGAGCCCAATAAAAAGAAACATTCTTAAGTGACAATTCCTTTCCAAAGCACAGTCAACAAAGAGGAGACCGACTAGGAGGAGCTCAGTGATGTCACTTCACAGGGTGATTAATACATATATAGAGAAATCATTCTGTGCTTTTCCCAGAGGGCCCAACAAATTCATATCATATGATAGGTTAATGCGGAGGAAAACAAGGACTTCAGTTTTTCTCTTTCATGTGTTGTCATGAAAAATTCAATAGAGTTGATTGATGGGACAGCTTCAACTTTTCGCCAGAAGTATCCCTACAGACAAATTATAGTTTTCAGTAAACAACAATTTCCAAAAATTCTAACTTTGGCCTGAAGAGAAAGCCAGAGGAATTGTGGTAAGAGAACTGGAATCTGAGTACTTTGACTATGTCACTAAATGTCTCCTGGCCTCGGCTTCCTCATCCATAAAATGGGGATAATAATAGAATAGTTAGTTAAAATAGATTAGGTAAATACAGTTAAATTATATAAAAATTAGTTAAATATAGTTAGATAAAAATAGAACATTTCAAAAAGTTGTTTGTCAGGATCAAATAAGATAATGTATGTAAAGCACTTTGCAAAAACACTAGATAAATATCTGTTTATCTGCTGCAATTACTGTTATTATTATTATTATTATTAATGAGTTTCTGGCCCTTTCCTGTAGTGACTGTCTCCTTTTGAGAGTCAGTGGGCGCTCTTTAGCTATATAGATATCCAGATAATATTCATAAAACCACTATGAAGAACTCAAAATTGAATATAAATACAGATGAAGGAATTAAGCTTAAAGTAGGGGCAGCCAGATGATCAGGCTTTCTTTTTTTGGTGGAGCATGAGAGGGATACCTAAACAAACAATAAAAATCATTTGTACAGGGTGTCCCCAAAGTCTTAGTATTTAATTTGTAGTAAACTTTAAGCTGCACTGAGTTTTGGAATACCCTGCATTTAAGGTTTCTAAGGTGTTTTACAAATATTTGCTTTATACATTTGCTTTATCTTCTTAACAACCCTATGGAGGAGATGCTATGAATGTCCCATTTTATAGACGAGGAAAATGAGGTAGGTCAAAGTTTAGTGATTTGCTCAGGGTCACACAACTAGTAAGTATCTGAGGCTGGATTTGAACTCAGGTCTTCCTGACTCCAATTCATAAGCACAGCTGACCCTTCCTTTTTAAGAGGTGCTTCTCATTTACTCAAACTTCGGGAAAGGGAGCATCAAAGAATGGCAGTATCTCTTTCCCCAACCTTTAAAAATTGTAAAGGAATTTTAGGCCCTTTAAAACAACCACAATGGAGGTGGTTCAACCACAAGCTAATTAAATCTGGCTTTTACCATGCAACAACCACCTTTAGAAAGTTGTTGCTAGGGGTAGCTAGGTGGCGGAGTGGATTGAGCACCGGCCCTGAAGTCAGAAGGACCTGAGTTCAAATCCGGCCTCAGACCAAACACTTGACACTTATGAGCTGTGTGATCCTGGGCAAGTCACTTAACCCCAATTGCCTAAAAAAAAAAAAGAAAGAAAGTTGTTGATAGAAGGTGGAGATGTAGTAGGGAAACACACTATCTTTTATAAATAGGATATGAAAACATACTATCTTTTATAAATTGGTCAACTAGCCATGCTAGTGAATAATAATAACTTCAGTTTACACGGTCCTTCAAGGTTTACAAAGTGCTTTTCTTCCCAACATACTGTGAAGTAAGAAATGCAAGTATTATTATCCCCATCTAACAGATGAAGAAAATGAGGCTCCAAAGGAGCTTAATGAATTACCAGTAGTCAC